TCCATCCATTTACCCTTCTATTCGTGGAAGTGCCAGTCAGAACAAACGATCACCATTCGATCGTAGTTCAAATATGTTTTTTTTTTGGTTGGGTACTTTGATAAAATATTAAATATTTTATATATATATATATCAATATATGCAGCCGATAGGGGGTCTTTGGAATTTGATTCTAGGGTCCTTGGTGATTTAGTTCTACCTCTGATTGTGTGATATATGTTTTCCATTATTTATTTCTTTATCTATCTTATCTATCAAGGTAGGTGGCCTTGGTATATACTAGTGACAATGATCCCAAAAGAAAGATCGTCTTGGGTTAGTGTCCCTTGGATGTTTCAATATTATTAATTCTTATCCTTCTTTCGGTAGTCATGCCAAGATGGGGGTTGATAATTAGTCTCTCCATCCATTTACCCTTCTATTTATGGAAGTGCCAGTCAGGAGAAACGATCACCATTCGATCGTAGTTCAGATATGTTTTTTTTGGGGTTGGTACTTCGATAAAATATAAAATAAAATATTGTTATGCGACGGATGTGCGGATGCGCCGGATACGGGGTCCCCCAAGCCAAAAGATCGGCGAAAAAAAAAAAAAAATCCTAAATCTCAAAATCAAGGACCCGGAATCCTCTGCGGCAAAAATCATGGTAGAATATAATAGTAGGGCTGTTTCCCAAGTCCACATGCCAATTTCTGCACCCTGAGATCGGCAATTTTTTTTTTCCTAAATCCCAGGGTACAACCTCTGTATTGCCCAAGTCTAGGTGCAGATTTTTGCGACCTTACTTAGGCAATACCCCACCAAACACCTAGGATATCGTCATTTTTTTTTTTTCCTAACTCAGGGTGCTGATTTCTGCGCCCTGACTTCGGCAAATTAGCTGTTGGACATTGCATTTAAAGGATATATGATGTAGATGTAGAAATAATGGGGGAAATTTAGTACTTGAAAAAAAATAATGATAATCAGGGATAACATTAACATTGGTGGCTTTATACCAAAGGTATATGGGGGCACCACCCTAGAAAAAACAAGAGCGTGGTTGATACCTTTTCCATTTTGATCCAGCAATTGGTTGGTACCCTTCAGAAATGGTAGTGGACCCCAGTTAATCCAAGGAATATCATAAAATAAAATAACCGTAACCGTTACTGGGATGATATCAATTTAGCCAACCAAGCGGTTGCCTAAGAATGAACATAATAATGCACATAAAATTTTCTATGAGTATGGTAAAAAACAAATAGTTATATTAAATAACCAATGGTAAGATGATACCCATTTAATCAACCAATTGGTTACCTCATAGGGAAAATAATAAAGTACCTATAATACAATTCAATTCCATTATCATATATAAAATAGTTGGAAAGACCCAAGAATCCATTTCCAGAGAACCCAGATCAATTGCACAACATAGATATAGTATATTCTACATTTTATCGAAGTACCCAGCCCCCCCCAAAAAAACTATTTGAACTACGATCGAATGGTGATCGTTTGTTCTGACTGGCACTTCCACAAATAGAAGCGTAAATGGATGGAGAGACTAATTTTCAACCCCCATCTTGGCATGACTACCGAAAGAAGGATAAGAATTAAAAATATTGAAACATCCAAGGGACACTAACCCAAGACGATCTTTCCTTTGGGATCATTTTCACTAGTATTTACCAAGGCCACCTACCTTGATAGAGAAGATAGATAAAGAAATAAATAATGGAAAACATATATCACACAATCAGAGGTAGAACTAAATCACCAAGGACCCTAGAATCAAATTCCAAAAACCCCCTATCGGCTGCATATATTGATATATAATATATATTTATATTTTATCAAAGTACCCAACCCAAAAAAACCTATTTGAACTACGATCGAATGGTGATCGTTTGTTCTGACTGGCACTTCCACCAATAGAAGGGTAAATGGATGGAGACACTAATTATCAATCCCCATCTTGGCATGATTACCGAATGGCGGATAAGAAGTAACAATATATTGAAACATCCAAGGGACACTAGCCCAAGACGATCTTTCCTTTGGGATCATTTTCACTAGTATATACCAAGGCCACCTACCTTGATAGATAAGATAGATAAAGAAATAAATAATGGAAAACATATATCAGACAATCAGAGGTAGAACTAAATCACCAAGGACCCAAATCCATTCCAAATACCCCTATCACTGGCAAACCTTATTCCAAGTCAAAATGCACAACGCACACCAGGTGCGTACCACTTTTGGCACTTGAGATGTCGAAAAAGTGGTCACTCGTTGTGGGCGCGAAGCACAATTTCCATTCCAAAATGTAAAAAACACACCACGTTCGGACCGCTTTTGGAAGTTGAGATGTCGAAAAAGTGCACGCCGTTGTGGCGCGAAGCACATTTCCAAGTCAAAATGTACAAAGCACCTCAGCTTCGGACCACTTTTGGAAGTTGAGATGTCGAAAAAGTGCACGCCGTTGGGGCGCGAAGCACATTTCCAAGTCAAAAGTGTAAAAAACTGGCGGTCTCGGACCACTTTTGGAAGTTGAGATGTCGAAAAAGTGCACGCCGTTGTGGCGCGAAACACATTTCCAAGTCAAAATGTACAAAACACACCAATGTCGGACCACTTTTGGGAGTTGAGATGTCGAAAAAGTGCACGCCGTTGTGGCGCGAAGCACATTTCCAAGTCAAAATGTACAAAACACACCAATGTCGGACCACTTTTGGAAGTTCAGATGTCGAAAAAGTGCACGCCGTTGTGGCGCGAAAAAGCGCGGTTCCGAGAACGTGACGCTGGGGTGGGGAGGACAGAAGGAAGGGCGAGAGTGAGGGAGGGGGAAGGTAGAGGAAGAAAGCGAGAGTTAAAAGTGGGGACCGGAGGGAGGGAGACGGTGAAGGACGCGATAGAAGGGGCTGGGAAGAAGGCGGGGATGGAAGTAGGACCTACACGGGCGGGGGTGAGGTAGGAGGAAACAAGAGGAGGGGGATACGTGGGGGGTGGGGAGGCGTAGGGAGGGGGGGGAACAGGCAAAGCCAAGGAGGAACTCGGAGTAGGGGTGGGGGGGGGGAAAGGACCGAGGAGGGGGGGTCGCCGAGGGGGGAAATGAATAGGGTTAGGGGCGGAGGATGGGGTGGAGGGGGGGAGGGGCTGGGAGCGGAGAGGAAAAGGGGGCGGAGAAAGGGGGGGAGAGAGGGGGGGGAGAGAGAGGGGGGGGAGAGGGGGGGGGGGGGGGGGGGGGGGGGGGGGGGGGGGGGGGGGGGGGGGGGGGGGGGGGGGGGGGGGGGGGGGG